GTTTGTGAAGAGGTTTGAAAAGAACTTGAAACAAAGGACTCAATTGAAGAAATCAAAAGTTGGAGGGGTGAAATTCATTAAAGTTAAGACCTCAAATCCAGCCCAGATCTAGCCCAAATTGTACCCACTAATTATTCAAACCCAACCCAACCCAGCCAAAAAAAAAAAAAAAAAGGATAAACGCTGAAATCCCTTTTTTTTTCTTTCTTTCTTTCACGTGATCCTTGGGTTCTCTTTCTTCCTCCAGTTTCCTCTTCTTCCTCATGGTGATCCTCGGCCTCTCCCTACTCTTCCCGCTGTAGATGGCTCTTTTTCTTCAACTTGCCAGCAACTCTCTTCCCTTCTCGGATCACCATAGTCACCATCCTTTGTGGACTCTAAAGCTTTTCATCTCACCAATCCATTTCTCTCTCACCTTCTCTTCCCCCGATTCCCCCTTCCCTAAAAACAACCAGTAACTATCTCTCAAAAAGCCACCGGTGACCATCTTCTTTCTCCTTCTCCTTCTCCAATCGTGGGTTCCAAACCTTCTTATCTCAACATTTTCGACTTCCTTCCACGTCAAAGCCCCATGTTTTAGTCAATCGGAAAACTATCATCTCACACCCACCTTCTCGAACCATTTTCCACAAGCCAACATAATCCCTATCGGCGAGTGAGCACCGGAATTGGAGAAAAGAGAACCAGATCTACCAATTGGCGACGGAGGTGTTGCTCACACGACACCAACGAGAAGATGTTAGAAAATATGAAATAGCATAAGAATAAATGTTAGAAGACGTGATCTCACTTTCCTTTTTTCTTGAGGATTTTAAAATCCTCTAGTGAATAACAGAATTCAAAATTTTCTAGAGGTAGAACTCTTACGTGAAATTTATAATGCTTAAAAAATTATTATTTATAGAGATGTATTTTTTAGAAAGACAAGTGATATTTGATTTTTAGATATGTTGTTTTAAATTTTAATTTAATAAAATAAAATAAAAAATTTAAAAATAATAAAAAATTAATAATATTATAACAGTCAAGTTTAAGGCGCCCAAAATAGTAAAAAAATAAAAGAATTGTGGTGAGGTGTGATCTTATTTTTCTTGAAGATTTAAAATACTTTAAAATACAACAGAATTTAAAATTCTCTCATAATTAAATGTAGAACTCTAAATTTGCATAAAAATTTATAATATCTAAAAAATTACTATTTGTAGAGATGTATCACTCTAAAAAGACACCATTTCATAGAGATTTTTTTTTTATTGCCAAAAGTTATGTTTGGTTTTCAAACATGTCTTCCTAAGTTTTAATTTAATAAAATAAAATAAAAAATCTGAAAATAATGAAAAATTAATAATGTTCTATCAATCAAGTCCTAAGGTGCCCCAAAATAGCAAAAGAATAAAAGAATTATTCTGAGACGTGATCTCACTTTCTTTGAGGATTTAAAATTCTCCAAGATACAACAAAACTCAAAACTCTCTCAGAATTAGATGTAAAACTTTGATTTTGCATAAGAATTTATAATGCATGAAAAGTCATTATTTGTAGAGATGTATCCCTCACACCATTTCATAGAAGTACCTTTTGATTGTCAAAAGTTATGTCTGATTTTCAGACATGTTTTCCCAAGTTTTAATTTAATAAAATAAAATATCCACAAATAATAAAAAAATTAATGATGTTCTAGCAATCAACCCCAAAGGTGCCCCGAAATAGCAAAATAATAAAAGAATTAGTCTGAAGCGTGATCTCATTTTTCTTGAGAATTTAAAATCCTCCAAGATATAATCGAACTCAAAACTCTCTCACAATTAGATGTAGAACTCTGACTTTGCATAAGAATTTATAATACCTAAAAAGTCACTATTTATAGAGATGTATCCCTCTAGAAAGATATCATTTCATAGAGGTACCTTATAACTGCCAAAAGTTATGTCTGATTTTCAAACATGTCTTCCCAAGTTTTAATTTAATAAAATAAAATCAAATATTTGAAAATAATAAAAAATTTATGATGTTCTAGCAGTCAAGTCCCAAGGTGCCCCAAACTAGCAGAAGAATAAAAGAGTTGTTCTGAGGTATGATCTCATTTTCCTTGAGGATTTAAAATCCTCCAGTATACAATAGAATCAATACTCTCTCAAAATTAGATATAGAACTCTAACTTTGCATAGGAATTTATAATGCCTAAAAAGTCACTATTTGTAAGAATGTATCCCTCTAGAAAGATACCATTTCATAGATGTACCTTTTGACTGTCAAAAGTTATGTCCGATTTTCAAACATGTTTTCCCAAGTTTTAATTTAATAAAATAAAATAAAATAATCCAATAAGGATAAAAAATTAATGATATTCTAGCAGTCAAGCCCCAAGATGCCCTGAAATAGCAAAAGAATAAACGAATTGTTCTGAAGCGTGATCTCACTTTCTTTGAGGATTTAAAATCCTTCATGATACAATAGAACTCAAAACTCTCTCAAAATTAGATGTAGAACTCTAACTTTGCATAGGAATTTATAATGCCTGAAAAGTCACTATTTGTAGGGATGTATCTCTCTAAAAAGACACTATTTCATAAAGGTACCATTTGACTACTAAAAGTTATGTCTGATTTTCAGACATGTCTTTCCAAGTTTTAATTTAATAAAATAAAATAAAAAATCCAAAAATAATAAAAAATTAATGATGTTCTAACTATCAAGCCCCAAGGTGCCCAAAATTAACAAAAGAATAAAAGAATTGTTCTGAAGTGTTATCTCACTTTTCTTGAGGATTTAAAATTCTCTAGAATACAACAAAACTTAAAACTCTTTTAAAATTAGATGTAGAACTCTGAATTTGCATAGGAATTTATAATGCCTTAAAAGTCACTATTTGTAGGGATGTATTTTTTGACTATATATAAAGGGGCAAGGCCCAATTTGTCTTGAGTTTCATTTTACTTAATTATTTATTGATAAAGAACAGGCCTTTATAAACTCCTTTAAGTTCCCATACTTTCTTGATGTGGAATTTTAAACATTTACTAAGTATTCAATAGAAGATGCTTCCTAAGAACTCCCAGCTAGACTACAAATCTGATAAGATTGTTCTCAAATCGTTCTTTCTACTGAAAGGGGGTTCAATATAGGCCATTTCTAAAAAATCAAGGCCCAGATTATTTATAAAGGCTAGAAAGTGGAGATCCAAATGGAAGAGCTTCGTCAAATATGGGCTTGTGAGTGATTAGGTTCTAGGGTTTCTTTTGCCTTGGATATAAATAGGGGTTTTGAGAGTAGACTTAGAGGGGAATCGGAGAAAGGAGGGGTTTCTTTTAGGGCAACAGCTGCTGAAGAAGAGTGGCTAATTGGGATTTAGAGGAACTCCATTTTTTGGGTTTTCATCATTGATAGGTATAGCTCTAAAATAGAGGGTTCTTTTTAGGAAAATGGTGAAGGATATGATGGGAGCTTGATCTCATGGGTGGGATCCCTTCCATCAAATCCAAATCTGTTTTCCTCTAAAAAATTTGCCATGTTTATTTTTGTTTTTCATTGATGTTTCCTTTTTGTTGACTCAATGCACTCTAAGAGGGGGGGTGAATTGGAGTTGGAGAATTTTCACCTCTTTGCAACCACCAAACAAAAATTAAAGAGAGACTGGAGAAGAAGAGCTTGCACAATGATTTTATAGAGGTTCGGTCCAACCACTTAGAGCCTAGTCCTCTACCTTGGCTTCACTCACCAAGGATTTCCTCCACACTCTCCACTAACAAAAACAATGGTGGCTTAAAGGAGCCACTTAATCCTTTACAAGAAGAAGGGTGTTTCTCTCAAATCTCACCCCTTTACACTTAAACCCCAAAGATCCTCTCTACAGATCACTCTTGAAGGAATCAACACACCCCCAAGATCACTCACTAATAGCACAATAAGAGGATTACAAACAAAGATCTCTCAAATATCAAAAACTCAAGTTAAAGCTCATGTAGGTAGGTAAAGATATTCAATACAATACTCTCTAAACTTCTTCAGATCTGTTACCAACCATATTTATAGCCCCTTGCTCGAAAATAGCCGTTTCTAGCCATTGGGGGTCATTAAATGCTCTGCAGGACGCAAAGCGCAAGTTGCAGAATTGTTAGGAGAGCCGGCTTAACTTCTTAGAGTCGGCTCTGTACAATAGGCTCACCATTTCTGCAGCCGACTTTGCAGGATTCCCGCACATTCTGTTTTCCTCGAGAGCTGGCTGCAAGACTTTGCGCTGGCTTTGGATATTCTTCAAAAGAATCGACCGGTGTGCATTAAATGCGCCCTCAGAGTCGGCTATAAAGTTGGAGCCGGCTTTGCTTCCATTTTCCGCGCGCGCCAACACAGCAGTTGAATTTTTGGCCCGTAGAGCCGGCTCAACAAAATCTGCAACCGGCTCTCTGCACTTTTGCTTCCCAGAGCCGGCTGCAATTTTCGTAAGCCGGCTCTCTGCACATTTTTACCCTTTGAGCCCTTTTTAATGCAATATCATTTTGCTTACTTTGCAGTATATTGGCAATTTAACTACACACTTAAATAAATCAATTAGTCACTCAAATGTGTTTTGTAATCATCAAAATCATAGGTACAACAATCTCCCCCTTTTTGATGATGACAAAACACTTGGATCATAAAAGCATATATACTTCAATATTAACCTCAAAATTTCAACACCAAGAAAATGACATTAAGACATTCCAGAAAATTATGAGAATTCAGCATACTTTGTCCCCCTTTTTGTCATTCATCAAAAAGTATATACACATAGGCAATAAACTCCCCTTTAATTCATGCTATCAACCTTTAAAGCATCAAGAATATGTAATGAATATAATCATCAATCATCATCAATCATCATCAATATAGCACCATAGACAATCAAAGTCATGGATACAATCATCAACCAATAAACTCCCCCTCAATAAAAGCATATAATCATCAAAATCATAGATAATCAATACCCAAAGTCATGCCAAGGTTGGGCTGGTTTGTGCGAGGAGAGAGAAACCCGAATGAGTTAAAAAGCTGCAGGAGAGCCGGCTCTAGTCTTGGAGCCGGCTTAACTTTAGAGAGAGAAGACTCTCGGGTTTTTGGGTGGAGCCGGCTGTGAAAATGGTTGAGCCGGCTCTACTGGCCTTGATTGGGACAAACAGAAAGTTTGGGGCTGTTTTGAAGGGAATGCATCTTAATTTGATATTTCTTCATTTAACTAAGTTTAAATTGAACATCAACTGCTAAATTATGCAACTTTAGTCATATATCAATGTATGCATCATCAAATAGCATGAATATAATCAAGGTACACATATCAAAGTCATCAATATGCATAAATTCTAATAAGCAAAAACATTAATTTCAAAATCCATATCAAGCACTAGGGTCCAACATGCCAAACTCATTAATTTGCATAAATTTTAATGATCACATCAAATGATATTATATTCAACAAGCATATGTATCAAAGAGTAAGCACACATAAATCAATAATTAATAGTCATGCTAATGATTATACTTAATGAATAAATGTAATAGGATAAATGATACCAATTTGAGCACATGAGTGGAGCATTCAAAAACAAATTCTCTTTCCACTTTCACTCCAACATTCTTGTTGAGGCATAAGTCTTTATCAAGATCAACTTTACTCTTCTTATGACTTTGCCATCAACTTTACCTACAAAACAAAATTAAGTTTTGATTTTTGGTACCCAAATTTGCTTGGGTCCATAGGGGTTAGTTCTTAAAGTTCCTTTTGGAACCCAAATTTGCTTCACTTTAACCTTGAGCTATCAATCTCTTCAAAGGACGTATGTAAGCAAAGTGTCCATTTGCACCACAACAATAACAAGTAACATTAGGATGATAGGATTGACTTGCTCTTACAAAAGAATTCTTGAAAGTCTTTGCTTTTTAGAATAATCAAATCCAATGCCCCCTTTGTCATAAATACTTCTTTGAGATTTTAAGATAGAATCAAAATTTTCTTTACTCAAGGTAAATTTGGAAATCACATTCTCAATATCACAAGCTTTTCTCTTTAAAACCTCATTTTCCTTCTTTAAATCTTCATTTCCTTTCTTTAAATCCTCATTTTCCTTTTTCAAAGCATTATTAGACTCCTCATTTTTTAAAGAACCAAGCTCATCATTTAAAGAGGCATTCTCTTTAACTAAAACCTCATTTCGTTTTGAGAGAGATTCAATTTCATTCCTAGGCAATGAAATGGTTTTAGTAAGAGCAATATTCTCATTTCCTAGTTTCTTAATGTCATTTATAGAGCAATCAAGAACTTTGCATAAATCATCATAAGAATACTCAAATGAACTTTCATTAATTGAACTAGAGAAGCTAGAGTTTACCTCCTCATCATTGTAGCTATCCTCTTGAGCCATGAAGCAAAGATTTGCAACACCATTTTCCAAGGAGCTTTCACTTTCCGTTGAGCTAGTCTCATCATCATTGCTCCAAGCGGCGGTAAAAGCTTTCTTCTTCATGCTCTTCTTGTTTTTCCTTTCACCCTTCTTCAATTTGGGACATTCATTTCTATAGTGCCCCATCTTGTTGC